ATCAGCTGTCCAACCATACAAACAATTCTGCACACAGAATGTTCTATCAGTATCAGTCTCACTGGTACCATGTGAATCTTCTGATTCTGTTGCTCTTTTCTTCTCGTGATGGCCTTCTTCTTCACCTAGTTATAAGTAAAAGTAGATTCTATTTTTAACAAAAATTGGCTCTAAATCCCACAGAAATGTTATTGTATGACACATAATGTACTTATGCTTCCAACTAAAACTTTGTAAGTTATGAGTATTTTAAAAATTGACTAATTTTTGAAAAAAGCAAAGGCTATAGCCCGTGGATTTTTTTCCAAAAAAAAGGCTCTGAAATCACCTCAAATATTTATTACATTTTCTGATACACATTGATGTCCTTATGCTATGTAGCAAGTTTGAGCTGTGTCTGACAAGTATTTTTTTAGTTATGGCCATTTTAAAAAATCACCAATTTCTGAAAAAAAGCAAAGGCTATAGCCCATGGTTTTTCAAAAAATGGCTCCAAAATCACCCCAATTTTTTATTACATTTTTTGGTACAAATTAATGTCCTTATGTTATGTAGCAAGTCTGGGCTGTTTTTGACAAACATTTTTAAAGTTATGGTCATTTTTAAAAATCGGCCAATTTTTTAAAAATACCCAAGGCTATAGCCCATGGTTTTTTCTGAAAAATGGCTCCAAAATCACCCCAAATATTTATTACATTTTCTGATACACATTGATGTCCTTATGCTATGTAGCAAGTTTGGGCTGTTTTTGACAAACATTTTTTAAGTCATGGTCATTTTTAAAATTTGGCCAATTGTTGAAAAATACCCAAGGCTATAGCCCATGGTTTTTTCTGAAAAATGGCTCCAAAATCACCCCAAATTTTTATTACATTTTCTGATACATATTGATGTCCTTATGCATACAGAAAGCTTGAGCTGTTTTCAAAAAATATTTTTCAAGTTATGGCCATTTTTAAAAATCAGCCAATTTTTGAAAAAAGCAATATAGCTCATGGTTTTTTCTGAAAATGGCTCCAAAATCACTCCCAATTTTTATTACACTTTCTGATACATAATTATGTATTTATGCCATGTAGAAGTTTGAGCTAATTCCAAGAAAAAAATTTTTGAGTTATGAGCATAATATTGTTAAGAAAGCAATTTCCTTTTGAAAAGAATGGATTTGTCTTGTAGTGTATGGATATTAATCAAGGAGCAGCTCCATTACCTGGTGATCCAACAACACTCTCTGGCACTCTTGATTCTGGATCAACAAGAAATTGATAATAACCAGAGGGACATGCTACATAAAAAAAAACAGAATAATTCATGCGCAATACAAAAAAATCAATTCTTACCTTCACAGCGACAGCTAGCTTGATTTAATAGATATTGGTTCTGACAGTCAGTAACAGTTAGCAAACAATCTAAAAATTAATAATAAATAATCATGATAAGAATCTACTTACCTCTGCAGTTGCTGCCTCCAAAGTTGTGAGGACATTCACATTCATTC